TTCCTTTCTGTAGTTAATAATTAACAGAAGTTAATTTAACTAATAACAGAAAATAAAAGGATAATATCACACTAGATATCGTTAATATATAGCAACAATAGTGTAGTTTAGGAATAACAATTAGTTATACATTAATATCCAATTGATATATCCATATATCCTTATTTTCCTACTTGATATTATAAAATAAAATAAATAAATAAAAAAAAAAAAAAAAAAAAAAAAAAAAAAAACTAATAACACTAGCGATAGCACTAATAATAAAAAACATTTAAAAGAAAAAAAATGCAAAAGTTAATATAAAAAACAAATAGAATAAAAGAAAAACTTACTAAAGACATCAATAACTAAATACATATTAAAGAACTAACTAATAACATTAATGATAACATCAATGACAACAAAAACTAACTAACAATACTAGCAATAATACTAATAATAACAAAAAACTAATTAACAATACCAATGATAACACCAATAACGAAAAGTACTTGGAAGAGAAAAAATATAAAAAGTTAGTAAAAAGTAAAAAAAAACATAAACAAGAAATTTATACAATCATTTATATGATTACCAATCTTTAACATAATTAGTTGATTATATAGAATCATATAACAATGGGTTGCCATTGTATTTTTGTCTAAAATTATTACTTACTATAATATTACTTAAATTTTCAGTTTAGATTACAAATAAACTAGTCTGAGCTCTTATGTTTACATGTAATTATTATTTTGTTATATAATCTTGGTTTATTTTAGTACTTTTTTACTAAAACATACAGTTAAAATTATTAATAAAGATGAGAGCAAAGCCTCATTTTAATACAAAAAAAAATATTACTTAAATTTTAAAACCAACTCTTATTTGCTAAAACAAATTCTAAACAAATTATACTTTGATTAAGCAAACTAATATATTATTAAAAAATTCAATATTTTTTTTTTAAATATTAAAGATGAGGCAAAAATTCAATATTTCAATTTTTACAATATTAGAAACTGATATTATTTTCAATTTCAAAATACTAAAAATTGATAACTTGTTCTTCTAACTATATTTTATATTTCTTTTAATTTTATTTTATTCAGATATTCACTTAAACTATTTTACTTTTCATAATTTAATTATACTTTATTACTCATTCAATTATTTAATCCTTGTTTTCTTCTTTTTATGATGATGTAATTAAAGTTAATGACTAAAACACAAATAATAGAAAGCATAACTCCAAAGATTAAAGGATAAAGAATTAAAAAACACGTGATGAAATTTTTTTTCAAAGAAGGCGTCAATATACATTTTTTTAATTATTTTTTTTTAAAAAAACTTCTAACTTTAAAAATAGAATATATTCAAACAATAGCTCAATATATTCATCTTATATTATAAATGAAAATAATTTGAATAAAGAATTTATTTGGCATGAACCAGAGGTGAAGTTTACTATAATATGTTTTAATTAGTATTATATGATTTATAGAAAATTATACCACAAATTTTAAGTTCAATTTAACTTTATAGTTAAGCTTTTAGGATTAAATTAAAGCAAAGGTTAGTTGTTTAGAGTACTGAATATTTTTACTTAATATCCCAAATATCGATTACTAAAGCCGTCTTTGTGGCCGTCTTGGGAAATAGCATATCCGGTAAGCGTTAAAATTGACCTTTTTTTTACTCATTATTATTATTACAAAATATTAAACACCATATAATTTTTTAGGCAATTTCTATTTGTACGTACATGGCATGTTGATGTCTTAAAATCCTAATTAAAACAACTTTGGAGGTCTAACAAAAAATATTTCTTGCAAATTTTAGTATCATTCCTAATCCTAGAACTAACCATACCCTAACTTTAAGCTGGGTTAATTTTTTGTCTTATAATTAATATCTTACGCGAATTCAAAAATAAAATAAATTAGTACCTGTGTATAAACACTGTGTAAACTAATAAATTTCCAAATTTTTAAAGTAATTTTGTTATCAAAAAAAATGTTAGGGTAAGATTTTTTGGATGCTGAAAATTTTTACTTAGTACATCAGGCCTTGATTATTCAGACAGTTTTTGAGATATAGCAACTGTGATGTTAAACACCACTGGTGTGATTTAGCAATACCGTTATGTAATCGCAGATTACAAAAGAATTTTGTACCCGTAACCAAGATCCTTATATCAAAATTTCGCAAAGAATTTTGTTTCATGATCTAAATTTTGAATTATTGTCGATTTTTTTTTTTTAAAAAAAAGCAAAAGTTGATCTTGGAGTTTGATTGGCCTTATGGGATGCGGTTACAGTGACCACAGTTACATAGTTTAGCATTAGTGAAATTAAAATGAATTAACCAATCGAAAGTTAATATGTATTACAGAGATACAGCATTATGCATTAAGTCATCGTGGCACTTCGATTTACGGTTAACAATATCCAGGCTTTTATCCATAATTAATTAGGATATGCCGTAATGGTGTAATTTAGTAATTACGATGACAGTTAAAGCTATAGCTATCTCCCTTAATAGGAAATGCATATATGCTGCTGTGAAATAATTATTAGTTTTTTTTACCAAAAAAAAAAAGTACTACGTACATTATTACGCAACCATTTAAGCTTTTACACAAATAAAAATTTTTTTTTACGATTAAAATTTTGCAAGAACATATTAAAAGTTGAGATTCAAATAGAACTAAAAGAAATTCAGATAATACATACATGTTGAGATTATTTCGAAACTATTATGGCTCGTGTCGAAACTATTACGGTTTATGTCATAACTAGTTCGAATAATGATAAGCATATCTGATATGTATGTAATATGAGGTTATTTTAAAGTTTAGCTTTTTAAGCGAAAAATTTCCAACTTTATTTTAATAGGTTATAAATATAAAGAACAAAGATGATCGAGATTTTTAGGTTTACAAGGATTTTTGAATTTTAGTCAATTAGAACAATAATACAATAAAATAAAGTTCGTCCAATCGTTATTGTTATCGTTATTGTTATCGTTATTGCTTAAAAAATATATATATACTTTTTTTGGTTAATACACAAAACATCTTAAAAATTACTTTGGTTGCTTATTGTTAACAAGGGAATTAAGTATCTACGTACGTAATCTGTACACTTACATATGCATTTAAAAATCTACTATTCGCGGATTTTTATGCATGCAATTTTTCGCTTTGTCTAGGAAATTACGAATTAGAGACTCTCTTGATTTTACATTAACGAACGAATTCAAGTAACTTATAATAATTAATTACCATGATATAGCCTTGAATCAGCGCGCGCATGCAATCGTGCTGTCATTAAAAATGTACTTTTTTGGTTCACTCTTCACTCTCCAGAAAATTATTTCCGATTGTGTCCGATTGTGTCCTTCGAGAATAAAGAATCGTCTTTGTAATTCTTTGTATACATATTGATTCTCTTTAATCATATACTTTGAGTACTTCTTGATGCTATGTCAACGAAAAAATATATAAAGACCCCACAACATGAACTTTCAAACCAAAATCAAATCATATCTTTACTATCAAATAAACTATCACAACACTATTACAACACTATTACAAAACTTTACAAAACTACTACAAAACTACTACAAACTACTTCAAAACTACTTCAAAACTACTACAAGTAATAAACTATGGCATCTTTTACAAAACTTTTTATCACTTTGATTGCCATTATTGCCTTTTTATCGCATTTTACTGTCAGTGAATCATCTGGTGTTCTAGATAAGTTCTGTAGCAGATTATTGAACAAAAAAGAACTTGAATGCGTATTACCTGAATTAAAGAATTCTTTAGCTACCGTTGAACAGACCAAAAAAAGTGCTACTGAAGAGATAATTGACATTTTCGAGACCAAACCTTTGAGTACTGCATGCACTACTGGAAAAGTTCTAGTAAGTAATGGCATACGATTATTTTGTGTCATCCGGCAGCAACATAATTTAATACTAAAATTTGTTTATCATATTTATAGTCGATTAATAATGATTTGCCTAATGATTTGCTAAAAACTGTTAGTCACCTTGCAAATATATGTGAAATAGTAGAACACGTACCCAATTCTGCAGTTAATGTCGTGAATGGAGTTAACCCTAAAGCTAATGTCGACCCCAATGCTCAAGTTCACCCTAATGCTGGTGTCGACCCTAAAGCTAAAGTCGACCCTAAAACTGGTGTCGACCCTAATGCTAGAGTCTCTACTTAATATTTATATTATAAATATATAAGCCTTTATTTACAATTGTAGCATTAATTAACTCTTTATACTTTTATTATTTTATTAGTTATAATATCAATATTAGCATTAAATTATTCATTTAGCAAATTGTTTCATTCTTTATAATTTATAATGTTGTGATAATCAATCAATAATAGAGTTATAATAAATAAAGTATATATCGAACGTTATGTTCAAACATTCTTTCTAAACACGTCGGTTGAATTGTTTTTTTTTTAAACATAATTTCTTTTCATGCGATTAAAAAAGACCTACTTTTAAAATCAACCAACCCTAAATAGATTTGTTCGCCGACACAAGAACCTATTTTATTTTGTAAAATCAATGAGTTTTGTTACATCAAACCAATGTACTCACATAATGATGTTTCTCTCGCGAGATAAACCTAGCATACATTTCACATATCTCGCGCATAACTTTATCGCGAGCCTCATGTAATAAGAATTCATTTTAGAATATAAGCTAAAATTTTCATTAACAATTCTTTAATCAAATAGTTCATCTCGCAAGATCGCGAGTTGTGATAGGTTTGTCATTTCGCGCGAAGTACATATCTAAACCCATCCCTAAACTAGTGTCTCAATATGAAAAATCGATTAGTTGCAAGTATGCATAATAGAAAAGTTAATTAAAATTTTAAGCTTTGCATAATATTAATTTATAAGTCAATTGATTTTTCCAACTACTCAATTTTGGGGCTTTCTCTATATTATCGTTGTTGCTCCTTTCATCCGAATCAATCTTGTTTGCTCTAACAATATCAATATGCAAGTACAGGTCACATGATAAATTACACCATTCCTGGTATAGGTTCTGATAATTACAGGTAGATGCATACTTTGGGTTAGCGTTAGTAATGACAAATATGAATATTTATAACAAATAAATGACATGTAAAACTATAAAACAATAATTAAAATCATATCTATAATGGTTTTTTATGACAAAAAAATGATATATTTTTATGACATTCAACTCAATAATTCTGTCAAATTGTATAAAGTATTTATAAGAACGTAAATAAAGGGGAAATTACTTATAGGGACCCGAAAAATGAAAATAATTACAGAAATCGGCTGTTGCTGAAATTTGGGGTCGTAATTTGAAATATAAGCACTGCTAAAATCCACATATGGGGACCCCCACAGCAAAAAGAGGCATTGGGACATTTTAAATTTTACTATTTAAATAACTATATCTCATGATC